GAAGAAATTGAGATTGTTCACAGCTTTAGTCTGCTTGGCTCCACAATCAACACTCTTGGCACTAGCAGCTAGGAAATTAAAAGACATATTGCGATGGGAAAGTCTACTGTTAGGGACCTCTCTAAAGTACTGAAGAGCAACAGTGTCTCTCTGGAAACTAAGGTGTGTCTGATACAGGTCATGGTCTTTGCAATCACATGTTATGCGTCAAAGAGTTGGCCAAGGACTAGGGAGGATAGAAGGAAAATTGAGACCTTTGAGCTTTGGTGTTGGAGAAGAGTATTGAGGGTATCATGGACTGCTAAGAAAACAAACAGATTCATCTTGGAGAGGGTTAAACCAGGCTGCTCCTTGGAGGCAAGGATTCCAAGGCTCTGTCTGACATACTTTGGTCATGTTGTAAGGAGAGACCGGTCCTTGGAGAGGGACATCATGCTTGGGAGGGTGGAGGGCAGGCGCAGGAGGGAAAGGCCCTCTAGGAAATGGATTGATTTGGTGACTGGGGTAATTGGGATGAGTGTGTCGGAGACAATGAGATTGGCACAGGACAGAACAGAGTTTAGGGCTGTTGTACATAGGGTCGCTATGAGTCACAAGTGACTCGACGGCACATAACAACAACAACAATATATTGTATTAATTATATTATATATACAGACTATTTTACTATCTTATACACACACACACACACACACACACACACACACACAGATATACTCTGATGGCCTAATGGCAAGCTGCACTGAAATCCTAAAGGCACATGGTTCAAGGTCACCAGCTGCTCCACTGGAGCAGGATGGGCAATCTCCTCCTGTGCCATTAACTGTCTCTGAAAACCCACTGGTGAGTCAGCTATATGTTGGTTCCAACTCTACAATACACAACAACAACAAAACACACACTATTTAGGAACCTCTGGTAGTATAATCTGTAGGGAGGTACACAGCTAATTCCAAGTTGTGTCTCTTGTGGCTCCTTAGGTTGTGATTTACAACTTGAGATACCCAATGGAAGATGACCTATGAGTTGATTCCTACTTGATGACGATGAAATTTTAAATATATAAATACATTTTTTATACAACCCAAAAGCAGGTGGTTCAAATTCACCACCTGCTCCATAGGAGAAAAAGAGACAATTTCCTCATGTGCAATTTACTGCCTCTGAAAACACACTGGAGGAGTCAGTTCCAACTCAACAGTACATAACAACTACACACACACACACACACACACACACACACATGAGAAAAGAGGGCTCTGGTGGCCTACTGGTAAGGAGTTGCTCTGACAACGCAAAGGCATACAATTCAAATCCACCCAATGCTTCACAGAAGAAAGATGAGCAATCTTCTCCCTTGTGATTTACTGCATCTGAAAACCTGCTAAAGGGTCAGCTATGAGTTGATTCCAACTCAATGGCACATAACATCAGCCCGTAAGGAGAGATGCTATTTCTACATTCATATTTGTCTATGCTGTAAATACATCCATCCATATACATAGCAGAGCCAACAGGGGGCAATGCTATGTAAGCTTATTAAGCATAGGTAAGCACTCTAAGAGAATAAATTGTTACTTCTGGGTCATAGTTTTGAGGGACATCAGGGCCAATTAGCATATCAGTGCACAAAGACCATATTCTATAGCCTACTTTGGTCTTGAAAGCTTGAGAACAGTCATTTTAGAGGCAACTGTTGATCTCTTCCTCCCTAGAACAAAGAAGAGTGAGGAAATGCAATGAGGAACTGAAACAATTAGTGTGAACAACTAAAGGACCACATGAACTTCAACTTCCATGACTCTGAGACCAGAAAAATCTAGATGGTGCCCAGTTACCACAGCTGAACACTCTGAAAAGACCACAAAGGATCCCTGGATAGAGTGGGACTGTGGGGAAAACAGAAAAACATAAATGCAACTAGGCTTACTGGTGTGACAGAAAATGTGGAACCCCATAACTATGGCCCTTTGTCACCCTCGAAACCTGAAACAAAAGCCACTCCCATGATTCAACCTTTAGTCAAAAGGCAGAATAAGGTGATCCCAAAATACCAGAGAGGCACTTACTCCTTTAAATAACCAGCCATGTAAAGTTAAGAAAGCAGCGTTTGCACAAGGATAAAATCCAGAAGGCAGGAAGGTGTAGGATAGAAGGATTAATGAAAATGAGAATTACAGGGAGGATGTGTGAAAAGGGTGAGTTCATTGTTGTTGCTATTGCTATGTGCTGTTGTGTTGACTAGGACTCACCAATTCTATGAATAACGGCTCTGAATTTTGCCCTCTCTTGAGCCAACCTCACCACCTCTGACACACTTGACCTCACTTCCACAGTCACTGTGTCAATCTATCTCATCCAGGATCTTCCTTTCCTGTGCTGACCTTCCACCCTTGGTACTATAGTTCAACTATATCGTGAGTGCTGCAACTAAACAAACAAACACCATCAGGCAACATATTGCTTTTCTGTCAAAGGGTTCTGTAAAGTGTTCAAGAGCAAGGCTATCACTTTAAAGACTAAGGTCTGCCTGACAAAGCCATGTTATTTTTTTATCACTTCATCTGCATGTGAAAGTTAGACAAGGAATAAGGACTGACTGAAGAATCGTGTCTTTGAATTGAGGTGCTGATGAAGAGCATTGCCTACCATGGGCTGTCAAAAGAATAAATTCAGATAGGTTCTGCATTAGAAGAAGGGCAGCTCCTTAGAAGCAAAACATTGTGAGACTTGATCCCACATGCTTTGGGCATGTTAGAAGAGACTCTTCCTTGAAAAAGGACATCATGCTGGGAAAAGTGAAGGGTCAGAGAGAGGAAGACCCTCAATAAGTTGGACTCATACTGTAACTTAAGCCCATTTTGGCTTAAGTGCAGCAGAGATGGTGAAGATGGTGCTGGACTGGGCAAAGTTTTTGATCTTTCATATATAGAGTTACTGTGTGTGAGTCGGAGTTGACTAGAGGTTTTGCAACAACAGCAGCAAGATTATAACTAAGTTATTAAAATGTGTATGAATGGTTGAATGGTAAACCTATCTGAGTTGCAAACTTTCATTCAAACAATTTATTTTTAAAAAGAAAAGCCAAGGAATCTTTATATAGAAATGTTCTCAAATTATTATCAGAGATGAGAAGAGCGGAAGGCAGCAGAGCACTTGCAATATTCAACCTGGGTGGGTTGAAAGGTGCAAATAGGGAACTGAAGACCCTTTCTCCCTAACTTCAGTTCAGGAGTTTCTTTTGTTTCTTCAAGGTGTGTCTTGGTGCCTTGTCTTCTCCACCAGACTCAGCGCCCTCCAGGCCCTCCAGCCCGGGAATGGAAGGGACAGTGTTCGGAGCTGGGAACTGTTGACAGAAGCATCAGGGTGTCTGCTTCCAGCTGCGTATGAATGATGGTATGATTTGGGACGAGGAAGGTTTTGGAGAGGCATAGAGAGGATCCAGGGAGAAATGGGAAATCAAGCAAGTGGCGAGGAGCTCAGGAATTTTTAAAAAAAAAATTATAGTAACGCTGGCAGCGACAGTAACTGCAGAATGTGTGGTTCGGAGCCATCACAGCCGGTGGCTCAAGGCTCTGGAATGCAGGTGCGCAGACGTGCGCTTCCGGCATTTGGGGGCTAAAGGCTGGGGCCTCCCTGGCCGGTGCTGCCTAGCGATGTGGCAACTTCAGGTTGCCCAACCTTCCCCAGACGGGTCCAGTCCTTCAGGAAAAGTCTCTGGCTTCCTTGGGGAGCCATCACAGTCCTTTTTATCAGGGCAGCCTGGCAGGTTCCAATGTGAACCTTTTTTAAGCAGCAGTCTTTACTGGGACAGGCTTGGCTGCTCCGTAGAGCGCAGAGACAGTGGGGAGGAATTGAGGAACACCATGGGATTAATGTCATCGCGAATGGGCTAATGCCTCAACTTCTTGTCACCTGGTTCTGTTTGGCTCTCCTAGGAGGCCGCCACCAGGCAGAAAGGGTCTTGTGCTCTGAGCGTGCAGGGAATAAAAGTCGGCCGCTAGAGTAGCCTCACGCCTCAGCTTTCAAAGAGCGTTTAGGATGTTATTTCGTGTTTTGCTTCTAGACAGCATGGGGTGGAGGAAACAGGACACAGAATGCGCTCCCCAGGGACGGGCCCGTCGGGTCACCGTCGGGCTGCGGGTCAGGCCTCCGCTCAGAGGGTCCCCTGCTCAGTGCTAGCCGTCTGGGGGCGGCGGGGCGCAGCGGGCAGAGGCGGACAGGGACACTGATGCGTGCACTACCCCGCGCGGTGTGGACGGCGCCGCTCTGCTTTCCGCTGCTCCCAGGCGGTGAGACGCCGGCCACTGCCCTCCCCACTCCCGAGTTGACTAAGCTGGGAGGAGGGAGCCCTCCAGGATTTCCTGCGGGCGATGGCGGGGGTGCGGCGGGAGGGTCCGAACCTGCAGAGCCGTGCTCATGCGGCGGGGCTCTGCCCGCCACCCCGCCCTTTCGCCCCCGCCCCTCGGCTGAGCCGTCGGGAAGCTGCCCCGGAGGAAGAAGAGGGTAGGTGGGAGGCGGATGAGGGGTGGGGGACCCCTTGACGTCACGGGAGGAGGTGCCGGGGAGGAAGTGGGCCGGGGAAAGGTTAAAAGCCGCCCCCGCCCAGCTCCTCCGAGTCGAGGTCCGCAGGAGGCTCAGAGAGCGCGAGCGGTACACGCTCCTTCCTCTCCTCCCAGCGGCAGCGGCTGCGGCGGCGGCAGGGAACGACTCCCGGCCGGGCGGCAAGGATTACCTGCAGAAGGGGTCTGTCCCCACGCCTGGAGCGGCGGCGGCGAGCGCTCGGGGTTTAGGACCGGGCTCAGGAGGCGAGGTCCTTAATTTGGAGGAGCGCGAGCACTGGGCTTACAGGCCGCATCGCAATCACCATGGTCGGCGGCTGGGATCTCCCGGTCCTGCTGTGCACGCTGCTTGGCGGGCTGCTTCTCGCAGGTGAGGCGCGCGGGGCCGCACGGGGAGGGCGGGGCCGGCGGGGCAGGAGGTAAGGCTGCTCCGGGAGGGCTGAGTCTCCCGGAACTTGGGAGACCTACTGGGGCGGACCTACTGGTGCGGAGAACCGACGAGAACGCGGCAGCATCGCTGACCGCTGACCGCGTGTGCAGAGCCTGGTCCCGCCGGAGACGCCCAGCACGGAGGGCTTGCGGCGCTTACGGCTTCGCTCCCGCTAAAACCCCGGGCGGGAGCGCTGTGCGCCGAGCCGCGGCGCCCTCAGGAGCCTGGGGAGCAGTGCCCCGAAAATCCACCGGCTGTCCACTGCCCCGAGCGCAGTGTTGGCGACCATGACATCCCTCACGATCTCAGACGTGGAGAGAAAAGAGGGAGCTCGTGCTGGCTGACACCTGGCGGATCCTCGGAGCGAGTAAGGGCTGGGATCCCTCTGCCCGATGCGGAACCTCAGGCGGCGCCTTCCATTGCCTTCGCCGCCTTGGCTGCGCTCAGATGACCACTGCGCCTCTGCCCAGGGTCGGTGCGCGTGCGGCGCAGCCAGGTCATGGACGTGAGTGGCCCGAACTGACTAGAGCAGCCGAGGACGCAAGAGACCGTTAGGTTCTGGCATGGCAAGCCTAACCTTGAGCCCTAGAACCAAAGGGTGTACGCACGAAGTGGATCAGAAGATGAGATACGGAATTGCTGAGGTCCGCTCCTCCGCGCGCTGGGCGAACCCAGGCGGCAGCTAAGTCTACAGGTGGCCCCGCCTAGGGATCCCGCTGGAGGAGACTTGGGGGAGGGCCTCCCCACCTCCTCTCTGCGGGGATAGACCCCCTAGGGCGCAGAGCCAGCTGCTGGAGCGCCTCTCTCAAACATTATGGAGAAATGTTAAATATGAAAAAAATACAGGAACATAGGATAAAAACCAGCCCTTGTAACGTTTCCCAGCAGAGTTAGGCATGTTTTTTCAAAGCCAACAAACAAAACCTGTTGCTGTAGAATTGACTCCCTGTGGGACAGAGTAGAACGACTTCGCTGGCGTTCCAAAGACTTAACTTTAAAGAATGTGTTTCAGCGGAGGAGTCTCACCTGTTCTGGCACTTCACAAAAAACAAATAATAGTTCCAGTTAACAGGTGACCTTGTAAAAGCAGAAGGCCGAGGGGGCCATTAGGGAAGTTTGAGAACTTGCTAGAGGTGGGGTAATTTGCTCATATAACTCCGTTAAATGAAACACTATATTTTTCTATTTCACAAAAGCTTCATGTTTTTGTGTTGTTTTGAAGTTTCTTTTATGGAATTGCATCTGCTTCAGCATGTAAATAACTTGCCCTGGTTCGGTCCTGTATGTAAAGTCAGTGAATGCAAAAAATAACCTAGAAAATCAAAATTAGGTGAGAGAAGTAATAGACGTTTTATTGGGTTTTTTGCATCACATACACACACACACACATATATATTTTTTTTCCTTAAAAAAATGTCACTCGAAGGGGCGCCTGTGGCGTGATAGCTTCGGTGGATGGCGGGCGGCTGACTACACCGCTGCCCTTAGGAGCCCACCAGCTCCAGTGAAGATTTCCAGCCTTGCAAACCCGTGGTGGGTGGTCCTGCATTGGACTGCCTTGGTGGAAGTGAATTTGTTGTGTTAGATAATTCTTTATTTTTTTTTTTTTAAACTTGAGTTTTTGTTATTTCACTGGGGTTCACTTTCTGCGGTGGGAATCACATTCTTATTTTCTCCGTAATCACAGTATTTTCAGAAACATTCCACAAATTTCTTGAAACAAAGGTATTACCACTTTTGTGCATTGGTTGTGATGTTAAGTATTCAGCCTTAAGAAACTGTTTAATAACACTTGAAGCTTTGAAGGGGGGAATTCAGGCCGACTTTAATTTAAAGTCTGATTATCTTTGCAAGAGCAATTGAAATTTGTGGACATTTTAGTCAGATGCGGGTAGGATCATACTGTGATTTCTCATAGATTTCATTGCACGTAAGTAGGCAAGATTTCAAAGAATCATAGCATGCTCTGTGAAGTTTCTTGTTTTTTCCTAAATGTGTGTTCTAGGCAGAAAGGAGATGAGCATTGCTGAGGTTGTAGCTTCTGGCTGACTTCTATTTAGCCTGTGATCACAGACCCTGACTATGCTAAGTGCATTTTCTCTGCTAGCAAATCTCTCAAACCCACACCAATAACATTGGTTACCTGCTTCCTAACATGGAGTTCAAGATTTTACATGGAGATGAAGACAGCCTCTCTAGGGAGGGTCCAGTAAGGGGCCACATCCTGCCCTCCAGGCACATTGGGAGCCTGCTGGAAGCTATTTGGGGGTGAAGGGAAGGAGTGGAGGGAGTGTCCCAGCTGCTGAATTTTTTAAGATGTTTCAGCCTTTGAAATACTTTGAAGGGTAATCTTGTGTCTGCTGACTTTTTAGTGCACAGAAAATAAAATAACTTGGAAATAGATAAAGAATCATCATTTTAAAAGAGTTTATTTTTTGACCAAATTCCAATAATTCCCATACCTTCAAGTTGAATTATTGGCATCTTTCTATCTAAATTATTGGTGTCTTTGTAAGGGAAGAGATTGCAGTAGAGATGTTTCATTCTCATCATTTAGGAGGGCTGCTAGCCCTTGTTCCTCCATCCTAAAGCTGCTTTTTCTTCCTTCAAAGGGGCTACCTTCTTGGATTACAAGCCAAGGTCTCCTTTCCCCACCTTCCCGGTTTAATCTGCATTTACAATCCATTATCAGTCATTGTTGTTGTTAAGTGCCAACAAGAAAAGTGATTTTGTGGGAGAAGTCCACATCAAAATTATTCAGAACATTCCTGAAAATAATTCACATTTCCCAATGGATTGTGATAAACTTCTCAAAGTAGAGCCAGTTTTTCCTAATGAACTTGGTTGGTTTTTTCCAAAAAATTGTAAAGCCAGGGTTTTTTTCCTCCAAAGAGATTGCACAATGAGGTATATATATATATATATATTTTTTTTAAACTTTTTTTTTCTTCTTTTTAAAAAATCTTTATTGTATCATTTTTACGTGTACCGTCAAATCAGATTTGACTGGTACAGGAGGAGATTGCCCCCTCCTTCTCCAGCAAAGCATCTATCTGGTGGACACAATGAGGTCTTAACTTACCTAGCACCCTAGGCAGCCTGCATCCCATTGTTCTAATTGTGTTGCCTGTGATTGGCATCTACTTCCTCAGCATTTTCACTTTATTAAAATAGACAATTGCTAACTTGTTAAATTGTTTTGGGTTGTTGGGTTTTTGCTTTCCTGGCTAGAAATTCTGCAGTAGACTATCCAGTGTCTTTTCTAAGTGCCCAAGTGGATTTTTTTATTTTCAGATATAAAATACAATAGTTAAAACAGATGATTGATTCGCAAGACCCTGGTGGTGGTAAAGTTAAGCACTCCGCTGTAAACCAAAAGTGGGCAATTCTAGCCTACCAGCTGCTCTGCGAGGGAGAGAAGAGGCAGTCTGCTTTTGGAAACCCTCTGCGACTGCTCTCCTCCTTCCTGCGGAGTGGCCGTGAGTCAGAATGGACTCAATAGCAGTGGGTTTATTTGATGGAAAAGGAATTTATTCTAAAAGAGCTTCAGCTCTCAAAGGGGTCACTGAACTTCTCAATTTAACATTGAATGTGCTTAATTCTAGGAACAGACTAAAAGAAAAATCACTGTTCTGTTTTTCAAAAACTACTAAGATTTTTCTGATTCTACTCTGAATGTATATAATACAGAAGTTGAAAATTATATGTAACAAAATCAAAACAAAACGGCAAACAGGTTTTATGTCAATTACTCAAACTAGAACATCCATAGGAAAGACCTTTTGCTGTACAGATGCCCCAGTCATGGCTGATGTGTCTCAAGGCTTGGGAGCTCAGCATTTGGGGTTTTAATGTTGTTGTTATTGTTATGTGCTGTTGAGTCGCTTGTGACTCATAGTGACCCTGTGTACCGCAGCCCTGACCCCTGCTTTATCCTGAGCCAACCTCATTGTCTCTGACACACCTACCTACCCCCACTACCCCAGACACTGTTAATCCATCTCATCAAGGGTCTTCCTCTTTTGTCCTTCCACCCTCAAAGCATGGTCTCCGTCTCCAAGGACAGATACCTCTTTGCAGCATGCCCACAGTATGTCAGACAAAGCTTCAGAACAGTTGGATAGCTTCTGTAATGCTTTACATTGCACTGAGTGAACCTCGTGGCAAAGCATGGTATACCCTGGGCTGCTGTCAGAAAGGTTATTGGTTTAAATTCACCCATTGCTGTGAGGGAAAAAGTCTCCAGTAAAGACCCACAGCTGATGTGACTCCTTAAAGGAAACCGATGGAGGGCTGCTGTGTTTCAGGATCAGTTAGACGGCAGTGAGTTTGATTTTGAGTTTATGGGGGTGGGCAAAAGAATGGAGAGAAATCATGAGGACAGATTACCTCGGCAGTGGGAATTTGCCCTGCAGAGCCTGCTGGTGTTGATAGGAAGTACTCCCTTCAGTTGCTGTTAGCACTGTGAGCAATATTGTGGATGTCAAGTAAATCTCATAATTTGTTGTTATGGATGAGACAGGCTATTTACATTAATAGCAGGCTTTGCTTTTTTTTTTATAAAAAGATGTCATTTTGAGACTTTCAGGACCCCTGGTATAATGGATGAGGGTCTACTTACTAAAATATTAGATGCAACGCCAAGGGGGGAAAAAAAGTAGTGATCTCCTCCCCTGAAGAGCCTAGTTCTGGCCCTGTGGGATCTCTGTGAATTGGGATTGACTCAAAAACGTACAACAGGGGTGATTAGAAGCATAAAAGCATCTGTTGCTTGTAGATAAAGCCATTTGATAGAACAGGACAGTTCACCCCGACCCATTGACCTCAGTATGCCTGGGAGGCCTGTAGCCTGACACATTCCAGCTCTCTCCCAGGTCGCTGCTTGCTTTCCAGGATCCTTGTTGATTCCCTGCAGATTGCAGGTGCTGATTCAGTCGCTGGACTTGATAGAGGGAAAGGAAGTGAGAGCAAAGGAGGTAACAGAGAAAGCTTAAAAGGGGAGCACTGGCTTCATGTGGGCCTGCAGGGGTCTTTTGAGAAGGAAATGGTTCCATTGAGTCACCAAAGATAGTGGGCGGGGCTTCCTGCATGGCTGCTGGGCCGGATATGGGGGAGAAGGCTGGATTCCTGGGGATTTCCCATCAGTCTTGGTCAACCCCCCTGTCTCACAGCCACTTGGAAGGGGCCACTGCTCCTTCCTGAGCTGTTGAGTTTTTTGAGAGACTTGATCTTGTCTTCCAGAGACTCACAGTTTAAGAACAAAATCGAGTCCACTTGCTTCAGAGAGGAGGCTCTTTTCTTATCCCAGGCCACCAGTGGATTAGTGGTGGACCCTAGAATCGAACCTAGTGCTCAGATTACAGACATGGTTTCATTTTTATATTTCCTTTCTCCAACAGAATGAAGATACACATCTAGCTATTGAATGACCCTGTTAGAGTGCTAGAACGTCTTTCTGAACGCTGCTGTCTATTTAAAAGAGAAAATCTTTATCAAATTAGGTCT